TTTAGGATAGTTATTGCTATGGTTACTGTGAACCACAGATTTGGCCTTCAGTAGAATGTCCCTGAACAGTCAGTATCTCACATGGCAATTTTGAAAGAAGATAACAAATGAATTAAAATATATCAGATATATTGCACAAGAAGAACTGCAATCACAAAATATTCACTGAAATGTGTAATTCACTTAAATGTTGAATGCAAGGTATTCAAAGTCTGTTATTCTGTAATAAAGYATTGTATTTTTAAAATGAAAGGAAAGTTAGAAAGATGTTTTATTAATTAYCAAATCAGGAGGATGGTGTTATGTTAAATGCTAATTTTATTCCCAAATTCAGCAATTAAAGCAGGTGGAACATTTGCAGGGGATACTAAATGATTTATTTATAATGAAATTTAATAATTTACAAATAGTATAATTGGTAAAAATCTAAAAGCAGAATATTTTTTTTTTTTAGCCATAGTTTGATTTTAAGAGCATTGTTTGGCCCATTAAGAATTATTATGTGGGCTGGAGTTGTGGCTCAGTGGTAGACTGCTTGCCTAGCACATGTGAGACACTGGGTTCAATCTCCAGCACCACATAAAAATAAACAAACAAAATAAAGGTATTAAAAAATGATACTGATTTTTTTTTTAAAGAATTGTTATGGGCTGGGAATGATGTCCTGGATTTGACCCAAGCACCAAAAAAAAAAAAAAAAAAAAAAAATTCTTTCAGGGTTAAAAGAAAATGAATGAAAACACATTTTTTTCCAAATGGAACAAAACCTTCTAATTTACATTTTTTTTTTTTAATACCTTTCAAGCGCTCTACCACTGAGCCACAATCCCGGTACCTGATTTACATCTTAAATGTACACATGTCCTTATTGTGTAATGTGCATTTCCAGAAACGACTTCAGCAAAAACCAAAATTCTTGCCAGTTAGTTTTGTAATTTGTGGATATTTCAAAAGAGTTAGTTCATTTTGTTGCATGTGAGATTAAACAAGAAAATATTCAGACCTTGCAACATAGGATTTTTTTTTTAACTGAAAGCCATGTTTTACATTGCTTATATGTATCAAAGGTAACTCAGACTAATAAATTATATAGCATTAGTAATTTAACCTTTAGATGAGTTAGCATATCAGGAAGTTTATTATATGCACATTCAAAATATATAATGTAATACTTTGTAAGTATTATTTTATATAATATATAAAATTAAAATAAAATTCTCCTTTGTAGTTGATTCTGATAGAATCCTAAGCAAGTGCATGCAATTTCCATTGGATGTTCTAATCTCCTGAGTTTCTGAAGCTAATTTTCTGGCATAAAACAAAAAAAGCTTCCTTTTGTTGTTAAAATTGAAGGCTGGGTTGTAACTCAGTGGTAGAGCACTTGCCTGTCATGTGTGAAGCACTGGGCTTGATCCTCAGCACCACAGAAAAATAAATAAATAAAATAAAGGTATTGTGTTTATGTACAACTAAAACAAAAAAAATTWAAAAAAAGTTGATACTGAGGTAAACCAGGATTTACCTGAGGGATTCTACTCACTTGACTTTTAGTACTTTACAATCCTAGAGACTCTGAGGACCAATGATTATATCAAAATTTGAAACTCATGTTGTCAACTGAGAGGCTAATGTAAAATAACATGTAATTTTTGTTGTTGAACTACGGGAGTTGTACCTCATATTCCACGTTTGAAAAACACTTCAGCTCTCTGTTTTCTGTCATAAGCTGAGTGTTTTCTCTGCTACACCCTTCTGCCATGATGTTCTGTCTCATCTTGGTCCCAGAGCTATGGAGTCAGCCAGCCATGAACTGAATCCCTGAAACCATCTGGAGAAGATGCCCTTTGAGAATCTTATGAACACATGAAAGTGCTCTCTTGGAATGGTGGAGGGCTCCAAAGTACCAGAACGTACCTGAAGTTGGGAAAGTTAGGGGTTTCAAATCCATCTGTCAATTTGAACACAAACAACCTCAAAGACATCGAGAAAACCTTTCACTTTAACTTCAATATTTAATTTGATGAATATATCTCAATTCTAAGTAAAGGTAAAACAGTTACCTGTGAAAAAGAAATGGAGTAATTAAAAAAAAAAACCCAAAACACTTTAAAAATCTGATGAGTTCAAATGCAATTTTTTTTAATGAAAACTGAATATTGTCTGTAAAATCACAGTAAATCTCAAYCTGTAACTTAACATTTTTTGTTGCTACTAATACATGTGTATTTTAAAAATACATACAGAAACTAAAGGTAAGACATAGATTAAAAGTATTTTAAAATGCCTTGCTGTTCATGACTCATGAGATCATTAGTTAACTTATCAGATCAATATACTCTCAGGATGAGGTTCATTGTACTGATTATGGGGTCCAAGTCCATATTTGTCTTTGTGTGTGTGTGTGTGTGTGTGTGTGTGTGTATGTAGGGGGTGATTGACTTTTTCCCATGATTTGACCATGTCAGCAATGTTGCTAATAAAGAATTGATAGCTCTGCTATTTTCTTGTTTGCCCTTGTTGTTGTTTTTGTTTTTTTCCTTTTCAGTGCTGTGAGTCCAAACCAGGGCTTTCTATATGCCAGGCAAGTGCTCACCACTGAGCTACATCTCCAGCCATTGTTTGCTGTTCTTGCATTATTGGCATTAGTTTCAGTCAGCAGTGAAATCTTTTTAAGCCACTTATCTACTTCATGAAGGTTAGTTTTGTTAAAACTAGATTATGAATTCCACAAATTGAACACATAGAGAGTACAGTCTGTACCAATTTGTTGAAAGTCCTTTTGTTCTCTCCTTGGAGCATAATTCTTACTTCTTCCTCAAGATATCTTGTTTACCTAAATTCTGTGTAATTACTTGGTATCCACCACATGAGAAAAAAGCTCATTTTGAATTTCCATATTAAACATTAATAGCAAAATTTAATTTTCATTTAACATGAATAAAGTGTAAATGGAAGTCTTAAATATTTTATTCTCTCACCCTGATGGATGGTCTTGCACATTCCTTTAGTTATGTGCATCACATTTGGGCGACTCCCATGTTAGAGTCCATGCTCTAATTACTAAAATTTTAAAGAGAAAAATGATGAACATAATCAATGATAGGAAAGAAATAGTCAATTTATTTTCACTGGAATACTTCTACCTAGCCCCTAATTAAGTGGGTCTTGCCAATCCTCTTTGTCCCTAAAGTAAAATATTTACATTAATATGCAGATTGACAAAAAATCTTGTGCATTTTCCTTTTTTTTTTATCCCCCTCCCCACACTGCAATTGAACCCAGGGATTCCCTGTATGCTAGATAAGTATTCTACCACTGAGCTACAACTCCAACACCAAACTTTTTTTTTTTTTTTGAGCAAGGTTGTAAGTGGCATTATCCAATTTCCAAATATCTATAATTTTTTAAATGTTAGTCTAATTTCCTTGTGATCTGAGAATGTGCTTGTTATTTTAATCATCTTAAATTTATCAAGCCTTGTTTTTTTTTTTTTTTTTTTTAAAGAGAGAGTGACAGAGGAGAGAGAGAGAGAGAGAGAGAGAGAGAGAGAATTTTTTAATATTTTTTAGTTCTCGGCGGACACAACATCTTTGTTGGTATGTGGTGCTGAGGATCGAACCGGGGCCGCACGCATGCCAGGCGAGCGCGCTACCGCTTGAGCCACATCCCCAGCCCCTCAAGCCTTGTTTTGTGGTCCTACTGTTGGAGTAAATGTTTCATGTGCACTTGAAAATAATGTGCTCTGCTTTTGTGAAGTTGTATTATATAAATTTTACATTAAGTGACTTGATAGTGTTTACGTTGTCTGTAGCCTGATTTTTTAAAAAACTTTTTTATTTATTTATTTTTATTAGCTACACATGACATTACAATGATCTTGGCAATGTAGCCTGATTTTTTTTTTTTTGTCTACTGTTCTATTGATTACTGAGAAAGGAATATTGAAATCTACAACTATGATTTTGTCTATTTCTTCTTTTAGTTTTTTATTTTTGCCTTATGTATGGGGGATTGAACCCAGGGATGCTTAAGCTACATCTCCAAGTTCTTTTTTATTTTGAGGCCAAGTCTCACTACATTGTTGAGATCTTGAATTCATAATCCTCCTGTCTCAATCTCCCAACTCACTGTGATTACAGGTGTATGCCACTGCACCTGACCCACCTTGTTATTTCTGTTGGTCCCACTGCTTTGCTACTCTTTAAACTCTTTTATCTTCGCACTGAAACTTTTTAATGATTCCATTTTTACTACATTCCACTTACCACTAATAACTTATTAGGGATTCTTCCTCTGTCTCATCTATTTAGAATTGCTCAAGACTATATTTATAAACAAGAAATTGGCAAAGTGGGGGATGGGGAATCACCGTGGAATTTTAATTCATTTTTTAAAAAATATAGTTTACTTGTCAATAGACCTTTATTTTATTTATTTATATGTGGTGCTGAGAATCAAACCTAGAGCCTCACACATGCTAGGCAAGTGCTCTACTACTGAGCCATAACTCCAGCCCCAATTAACTTCATTATCCAAGCAAAAAATATTACCCTTCCTTAATAAGCTGAGTTTTAAATCTTAACTTTAATTAGAGATTGAACTAGTTAAAATGAAAAAGGTCAATGATGTGAGGAAGAATGTCTATTGTTAGATTAAAATAGCTAACCTTTTCACAAGTGAACAATAAAGACTAAGACAAGACTAGAAAATACCATAATAAAGAAAGTGAACATCATGCATGGTTATGTCAACCAGAAGTGGGCAGCAAGTATTTTATAGTATAATCTAGGTCTCTCCAAACAACTTGCMGAGCATGATATAGCACCATTTCAAAAACTGTTGGAACATATCCATTTGTTCAGCCAAATATTTGCTGGCTGCCTGCTATATGCAGAATGCATTGCTATTGGTACCTAATGTCCCATGTATTCCAAATGAATTCTGATATGCCCCTAGACATTTTCATTTTATTTTTTAAAGAATTACAAAACAGACTGGTATATGTTTTTCTTACTTTATTAATCCTTACTAATATTCTTTAAGGGGCAAACACATGGACAAGTACGATATAGTGAAGAAATCTTATTTTTATAAGAGAATTAAGGAGTTACTAAGATATTTCCAGATACTATCTTCAGTGATGATTGTTATCTTTTTTCTGGGACTCCAGATAATATTCGGCCCCTACGGCTACCACAAAAGCAGCAAATCCCCATTTAAATCCTTTTAATAATACACCAACAAAGGAAACATTGTGTGCAAAGCCACCCATGTATCTCCAAGCTTCATTCCTAGAAGAAAAAAGATGAAAAAAATATAATCACACACAATTCATAAATACTAAGTAAAATAAATTTAATTTTAATTTTTCTAATATACTTAAATGTGACATTATTTGAGAAAATCTATGTGGATCACAATAGTAATCTTTTTGTGGCATAGGATAGTTAAGAATATATGACCAAGTTTTACTTATAAAATATATTTTAAAAAGCCACTTGATGATTTATTTTATAGTCATACTATTCATGCCTCAAATGCATGACTCACTTTGGTATCCATCACAGACTAGCTGGGTGGCTATACACATACTATTCATTCCAACATCATAGAAAGATCAACTTAAGACAATTAGACATTAATTCAGAAGGAGCACAGCTTTTCCCTGTCACAGAAGCTTGAACTTCAGAAGACTGATTTCCTGCTCAGGTAAATCATTCTTCTGAGTATACTGAATAAAGAAGTGAACTGAAGTCAGAGAACTGTAGGGGGAAAAAAACACCTCCTTCCACWGATTTTATGTCAGTGAAAAATACCACGTTGTGAAGAGCAAAAACCATTTATCTCTAAAACTCTGACTGGTATGGTTTAGATATGAGGTATTCCCCAAAAGTGAATGTGTGAGACAATGCAAGAATATTCAGAGGAGAAATGATTAGAGAGGTGTAACTTAATCACTAGATTAATCCTCTAATATGGATTAACTGGATGGTAACTGTAGGCAGGTAGGGTGTGGCTGGAAGAAGCAGGTCACTGGGGCAATGACTTTGGGATTTATGTTTTGTATCTGGTGAATGGAACTATCTTTCAGCTTCCTGGTTGCCATATCTTGAGCTGCTTTCCTCTGCTATGCCCCTCCACTAAGATGTTCTGCCTTACCATAGGCCCAGAGTTATGGTGTCAGCTGACCATGACCTGAACTTCTGCCACTGTGAGCCAAAATAAACTTTTCCTCCTTTAAATTCTTGTTAGGTCTTTTGGTCACAGTAACAGTAAGGGTAACTAAAATACTGACTTAATAGAAAATATGGAAACAAATCAAATCAAATTTAAATGTCCAAACCAAAGACGTTAGCAGAAAATGACAGAATAATATACCTCATGAACACAGATGCAAATATTCTTAACAGAATTTTAGAAAATTGAATCCAACAAGATACAAAAAGATACATCATGATGAAGTAGAGTTCACCCCACATATGAAAGATTGGTTTTAAGATATATATACTAAATACACACACACACACACACACACACACACACACACATATATATATATATATATATATATATGAATACATACTATATATAATACACACACACACAAACACACACAATTTTTTTTTTTTTTTTTTGATTCCAGGGATTGAACCCAGGGACAATTAACCACTGAGCAACATCCTTAGCCTGTTTTATTTTTCATTTTGAGACAGGGTCTTGCTAAGTTGCTCAGGGCCTTGCTAAATTGCTGAGTCTGGTTTTGTACTTGCAATCCTCCTGCCTCAGCCTCCCAAGCCATTGGGATTACAGGTGAGTCCCAGCAAAACAGTTTTGATATATGAAAATCAAAGTGATTCATCATATAAATGGAATTTAAAAAATTACATGAGCATTTCAACAGATACAGTAAAAAGTATTTGATGAAATTCAAGAATTAAAAAAAACCAAAGGGCTAGGGTTGTGGCTCAGCGGTAGAGCGCTCACCTTGCACATGTGAGACCCTGGGTTTCAATCTCAGCACCACATAAAAATAAATAAGTGAAATACAGGTATCATTTTGTCCAACTACAACTAAAAAAAAAAAAAACAAAAAAACAAAAAAACAAACAAACCCAAAACCAAATAATAAAAGCTTGGCATGGTGGCTTGTACCTGTAGTTCCAGCTAATAAGGAGGTTGAGGCAAGAGGTTGGCCTGAGCCCACAAGTTTGGGGCCACCCTGGGAAGTACAGTAAGAACACGGTTTTTAAATAAAAGAAAAAGAAAGGAAGAAAATAAAAATCTGAGAAACTTTGGGATAGATGAGAAATTCTTCATTTTGGTAAATGGCATCTCTGAAAATCCTAAAACCCAGCAAACTTAGTGGTGACAGACTGCTTTCTCTCAGGAAAAAGGCAAAGATGTCTGCTTATATCACTTTAATTAATACCATACTAGTATAGTTAGCTAATGCAATTAAAAAAAATAAAAAGTTAAGAATACCGTCTTCACAGATAAAATGATTATCTCTGAATAAAATTCTAAGGAATCTGTAAAAAAAAAAATCACAACTAAAAAGTGACTTTAGCAAGGTAATGAAATACAAAGTTAGTATATAAAAATTAATCATGTTTTTATCTTCTAATAACAAACAATTGGAAATTGAGACTTAAAAACATATATCATGTAAAATAGCATCAAAATGTGGTGCTGGGTGCCTGTAATTCTAGAGGCTTGGGAGGCTGAAGCAAGAGGATCGTTAAGTTCAAAGCAAGCCTTAACAAACTTGCAAGATCCTGTCTCAAAATATAAAAAAGGCCTGGAGATGTGGCTCAATGGTTAAGCGCCCCTGGGTTCAATCCCTGGTGCCAAAATAATAATAATAATAATAATAATTATTCAGGGTAACCTTAACAAAACATGCAAGACCTGTGTATGAAGCAACAAAATACTGCTAAGAAAATTAAGGAAGATCCAAATTGCCCATGGACTGGAAGATTCAATATTATAAAGACATTATCTTCAATTTGATTTGAATTTGATTTAATATAAATATGAAATAGATTCATATTGTRAATCTATGTCAAAGAGATTCAATGTGATTCCAATTAAAATCCAAGAAGAGCAGGCATGGTGGYACATGTCTGTGATCCTAGCAGCTTAGGTGGCTGAGGAATGAGGACTTTATGTTCAAAGCCAGCCTCAGCAATTTAGAGAGGCCCTAAGCAACTTAGAGAGACCCTGTCTCAAAATAAAATAGAAAAAGGGCTAGGGATTGTCTTGTAGAAACTGATAATCTCATTCTAAAATTCACAGTTAATGCAAAATACCTGAAATAACTAAACCAATTTAAAAAATGTAGATCTTATAATACCTGATTTGAAGACAGTGTAGTATGGGCATAAGTGCAGACATATTGATCAGGATAACACTAGAGTCCAGAAATAGGCCACATAAATACGGTAAATTGATTTTTGAAAACTTTGTCAATGTAATTCAACCTGGGAAATATGGTCTTTAATAAATGGTGCTGGAAGAACTGAATGCCCATATATAAAAATATCAACTTTCCTTCTTATCTCAAATGATACAAATATTAACTAAAAATGGATCATATACTTAAATTTAAGAAATTAATTAATTAATTAATAGAAAACTATAAAAGCTCCTAGAAGAAGATTAGGAAAAAATCTTAGGATGCCAAAAGCACAACCCATAAAAGAAAAAAAGAAAGCTAAATTGGGAATTCATCAAAATTTAAAATTCTTTGAAATTTAAAACTTAAGAAAATGAAAAGAYAAGTCATACTCTGAGTAGACATTTAACCACAGAAAATATGTGAATGGCAAATAAGCACAGAAAAAGATCTGTGTGATCATCACTTTTTATAGAGATGAAAATTAAAACYACAAGAAGGTATTAGTACCATTTTCACTAGAATCATCAAAATTAAAAGACTAATAACAACAATATTGACAGAGATATTAAGCAACTGAAATTCTCATACACTGATGGTGGGAATGAGAAATAATTCAGTCACTTTGGAAAATGGTTTGGCAGTCTTTTATAAAAATAACTGTGGACATAGCTTATTATCCAGAAATCCCAGTTAGGTATTTATCCAAGAGAAATCAAAATATGTGCTCATAAATGCTCACACTTGAATGACTATAGCAACTTTACTCATAACAGCCAAAAGTTCAGAATAAGCCAAATGACCATCAATTGATAATGGTACCAAAATGAGGTATTTCCACAGAATGGATATAAAATAAAAAGGCAATAAAAAAGATTAGATACAATCCACAACATGTGTAAATGTCAAAATGCATTATGTTAAGCGAAAGAGTCCAGGACAAAAGACTATATACTATGTGATATCAATTCTACAAAATTTGAAAAAGATCAAAACTATCCAGACAAAAGCACAACAAGGGTCACCAAGTCACAGGTAGGGTAACACTGACTGCAAAAGAGCATAAGAGCATAAGGAAATTTTCTAAATTAACAGAAATATTCTATAGCATGATTTTGGTGGTGGTTACATAACAGCATTTTTGTCAAAACTAACGGAATTATATGATGGGTGAATTTTAAAATGGGTGAACTTTAGAGGAATGATATTTCAATAAAACTGGTTTTAAGCTAGGCAAAGTGGTGCATGCCTGTAATCCCAGCAACTCAGGTAGTGAAGGCAGGAGGATCACAAGTCTCAGGCCAGCCTGGGCAGATCCTGTCTCAAAAAAAGTAAGATGGGAAGGGGATGTAGTTTAGCGGTTGAGTGTTTACATGGCACGCATGAYACCTTGAGTTTGATTAGGAGGACTGGGAGTGAGAGGTGGGCACAAAAAATTTTAAAATTTTAATGTAAAAAGTCATATACTGAAAATGAACACAAAACACTAACTTTTGGGGGGCAGGGGTTATTCTGGGAATTGAATTCAGGGCACTCTACCACTGAACCACATCCCCAGTCCTATTTTGTATTTTATTTAGAGACGGGGTCTCACTGAGTTGTTTAGAGCCTCATTTTTGCTGAGACTGGCTTTGACCARGTGATCCTCCTGCCTAAGCCTCCCAAGCCACTGTGATTACAGGCATGCACCACCACACCTGGCTAGACACTAGATTAAAAAAAAAAAAAAAAGTATATATATTTTTAGTTGTAGATAGACACAATACCTTTTTATTTTATTTTTATGTAGTTCTGAGGATCAAACCCAGTGCCTTCCACATGTGAGGCAAGCACTCTACTACTAAGCTACAACTCCAGCCCTAGACACTAACTTTTAAAGAGAAGTTCTAATTAAATTACTTAATTCATCTTACCGGCCCCATGGATCCCTGAGCCCTTTTGCAGCCAGCTTCTCCTGGACAGTTTGTAATGGTGTCCCTTCTATCTTCCAATGCCTATAATCTGGAAGTTCTAGTTTTCCATGACCATGTTCATGTCCATGTCCATGTCCAGGGGCCATGTCTACAGAAAATAAGTAACATAATAGAGAAGTACACTTAAATGTTTTTAAGATAAATGCTTGAAAATTCTGAGTTAAGAGATTTTAGAAAATTATTTTATTACACTATCTAGTATGTGTTCACAGGAAATACGAATATGAAACAGAAAAATAATCAGTAATTGTACCAGAGAAAACCATTTATTATTTGATTACTTTCTTCATTAGAAAAATAGCAAACATTTACTGAGTCCTATGTGCCAGGTGCACTATGTTTCACATATATTAATTTCATCACTTCTAAAATAACTCTCTGAATTTAACTTAAAAATATCCCCATTTTACAACTGAATGAGACTCCAAAAGGTTAAGTTATGTCCTTAAGAAATTACTCTCAGAAGCTAAGTAATATCCTGAAGATAACAAAAATAGTAAAAGGTACAACTGGGCTTTAACCCTTGCAGTATGGTTCTCAGAAGCTAAGTAATATCCTGAAGGTAACAAAAAATAGTAAAAGGTACAACTGGGCTTTAACCCTTGCAGTACTGTTCCTACTTTCTAAGTAATACTGTTTCCCTCTTGAGTCCTAATGCATAAACATGCATGATGAAAGCATAATACTGTTTTGTTACCTTTATTTAGATGATTCTTTTAGAATGTTGTCTTAATGATTTTGAATACGTATGATCACATGAACTTTTTCTGTAAAAAGTCAGATAATAAATATTTTACGCTTTTGAACAAAAGAGGTAAAATTGAGCAGATTATGTATGTCTATATATGACAAGAAAACAAATTTCCAAAACTTATTGATAAAATCCAACATATAATAAATAGTAACTGAGTATAATTAAATTTTTTTTGTATAGGTCTACTAATGATAAAAAAGAAATTTCCATTTTGGAGTTCACCATCTTGCTTAGTTAGTGCTCAAAGTTAGCATTCCTTAGTATCAAAATGATCTCAAAAAACTATTCTTTGCTCATGGGTCTTACAAAAATGAGGTAATGGGCTGAATGTGGTTCATAGGCTGAAGTTTACTAATTGAACTGAATAACAGAGACCTTAGGACCCATTTTTCTTTTGTCTTTTTTTTTTTTTTTTTGTGGTACTAGGGGATTGAATCCAGGGCCTTGCAAATACTAGGCAAGAGTTCTACCACTGAGCTACAACCACAACCCCTTAAGATCGTTTTTAGTCCATGTTTGCTTCTATAAATAAAATGCCTTTAGTGTTTATATGAATATTTCACTTTTACTAGTGTCATGATTAACTTTTGTGTGTGGGCATGAGTATGTGTGTGTTATTTGCTGTGGACTAAATCCCTGGCTTGTTGCATGCTAGGCAAGAACTCTTGACAGTGACCCATATCTCCAGCTCTACTAGTGTTATTTTTACAGCTAATATAAAAATAAACTTAATCTCAGTTCCCCTTTTCAATTGCTATGAATTCAAATTAAAGGGTATGAATAAATAATGCTATATTATAATTTGTATAAGGCTAGCAGTAGCAATTCTATAGTCACTCTCTCCAGAAATAAAATGAAACCAAATAATTATTACCATTGGCTGTATTTATAACTATGTACAGGCTCAATAATAAGACAGGATTTTTTAAACTGTATTTTAGAAGACAGAAGTAAGGTAGTGTACATTAAAGACACATTATGTGAAATTCTCATTCCATTAGACAATAATTCCAAGATGAGAAAAAACTGAACATAATAATTTTGACAAATTAACAAACAATATTTATAAACATGTTAAATATCACAAAATATTATRTTGGTTATTTATATATTTAAAGAGAAAAAATCAATACCCATCAAACACAAGTTAAAACAACATGATGGGGCTGGGGATGTGGCTCAAGCGGTAGCGCGCTAGCCTGGCATGTGTGCGGCCAGGGTTCGATCCTCAGCACCACATACAAACAAAGATGTTGTATGCGCCGATAACTAAAAAATAAATATTAAAATTCTCTCTCTCTTTAAAAAAACAAACAAACAAACAAAAAACATGACTTTGAAACACTTAATCTTATTAATTATTTGGTGGATTCAATAATATGAAGGAAAGAAAAATTATGGTTTTGGGTTTCAGAATGACTTTTAAGACTCAATACATTGGGCTGGGGATATAGCTCAGTTGGTTGAGTGCTTGCCTTGCATGCACAAGGCCCTGGGTTCAATCCCCAGCACCAAAAAAAAAAAAAAAAAAAAAAAAAAAAAAAAAAAAAAAAAAAAAAAGATTCAATACATTATTACAAAAGAAAGACACTTAGAAACATTTATTTGGGATGGTAATGTCCTGGCTTCTTCATAATATGTTTTAAAAAATATTTTTTGAAATATTGTTTCACTTCAAAAATGTTTGTATAGATTTCAAGACAAGCCCTTATTTTAGCAACTGTCAATTTTAGAATACTAAGTATCCATGTATTTGGAAAACAGTACAAAACAAGGTTAAATTTTGGTATGGGTATTGAATTCAACCTGGGATAAATACCAGGTTGCTCTACCACTGAGCTACATCCCCAATTCTTTTCTATTTTGAGACCGCATCTTGCTAAATTGCTGGGTACTCACTAAATTGCTGAGACTGGCTTTGAACTCCCAATCCTCATGTTTCAGCCTCCCAAATTGCTGGGATTAGAGGTGTGCTCTATTGTGTCTGGCATGTTAAAATTTTGATGAAAGAGTTTGGTTTGGAAAATAAAAGTTGAAACATTACCATAGTACAAAAGCTATTTCAAATCTATTACTGCCTCAAAATATTAAGTAATTTAAAAGAAAAATCTTCAAAAAAAAAAAAAAAAACAAAACAAAGAAGTACATACATTCTTATTTCTCCTATATAAATTTCTTTTAATGAATTCAATGTGCTTTCTCTTATACCTAATTCCAGTATTTCAGAAAGGTTCTATAGGAATTTCCTAAATATAAAGAAGAAAAAGTTGAACAGTGTTTCTAGTAGTGCTATTCAAGAAATACAATGCAATCCACACATTGCATTGTATTTCTTCTTGGGAGGCTAAGTCAGGAGGACTACCAGTTCAAGGCCAGCTTCAGCAATTTACCAAAATTTTAAAAGGGCTAGGAATGTAGCTCAGTAACAGAAAGCCCCTGGGTTCAATCCCCATTACTACAACAAAGAAATAAACAAGGGCTGTGGCTGTGGCTCAGTGGTAGAACACTTACCTAGCATGTGTGAGGCACTGGATTCGATCCTCAGCACCATATAAAAATAAACAAATAAAATAAAGGCATTCTGTCCGTCTACAACTACAAAAAAAAWTTTTAAAAAAGAAACACAACAAAAAGACAGAAGAGTCATAACTCAAACAACAATATCCTGATCATTTGAAGGAAGAGTCTGGAATTCTCTTACTTTGCACCATTGATAGCTATAAAAGCACCAGGCAAATCACTTAATCTTTCAGAATTTCAGTTTCTTTATTCAATGGACATAAAACCAACCTTGTAAGATTATGAGAATTGGGGAAAACAGACTGCAATGTGCCTTCTGGGTATGAATATGACCTAGAACAATCATTCTGAAACATTTGTATGACTTAGAAAAGCTGAACATTTGAATACCTTTAGGCTAGCAATTCCACTCCTAGGTATATATACTCTAGATCTGCACTGTCCTATTTGGTAGCCACTAACATTTGAAATATGACTAGTGCAACTGAGAAACTGAACAAGTGTTTAAATTTATGAAATTTGGCATATAAACTGAGATGTTTTGTAAACATAAAAGTACACAAATTTAGAAAAGTGTGAAAATATAAAATATTTCAATAACTTAATATTGGTTACGTTTGGAAATAATATTTCTAATAATTGAGTTAGATAAAATATACTATTAAAGTTAATTTTGTTTCTTTTTACTTTTAATAAGGCTTTAAAAATTACATGTGTGGATTGCATTGTATTTCTTCAAGCAATGTTTTATAAAAATTTGGGGACTTTTTTTTGGTGCTGGGTATTGAACCTCATCCATGCTAAGAAGTTCTTCCACTGAGCCACACCCCAGTTCCTGTTAGATAAGAATCTTTACAGTCACATAATTGTTTTTTGCTAGCTCTAAACTGTAAGTAATTCCAATCTAGTGACAATAGAAAGGATTATGGTACAATCGCGCTATGGAATATTATACAACAAAGAGCTACATGCAAAAGTATGAGCAAACTTCACAAATATAATAATGAACAAGGATGAATCAGAAAAAGACACATACATATTGATCCCATTTGCATAAGTTGAAAAGCCTAATTCACTTTTTAGGAATGCATCTTAGACAGAATTAAAGTAAAACAAGTGATTTCTTGCCAAGRGTCAGGATAGTGCTCACCTCTTGGTGGAGGAGAGATAATCACAAAGGCTAATACAAAAAGTGTCTAAGGAAGTGTTTTAGTTTCTTTCTTTTCTTTTTTTCTTTGTTTTTTGGTGGTGGGCATTGAACCCAGGGACATTTAACCATTGAGCCACTACCCAGGCACTTTTTATTTTTTATTTTGAGACAGGATCTCACTTAGTTGCTTTGGGCCTTGATAAGTTGTTGAGGCTCACTTTGAACTTGTGATTCTCCTGCCTCAGCCTTCTAAGCCACTGTGCCCTGCCAAGGCAGTGTTTTCAACCAATTTTTAATTATTGTACCTCTAAGGAGTTGAGATGTATTTTGTATCTGTTTATGAACTGTGGCCCTATTTAAGGGACATAAACCATTGTGTTCTCCTCATTTCTCATTCCATTTTCACTTCAAGGACAGAACACCTCTGTTGAGAATGCATATTCTAAATTATTAGCAGTGCTAATTTGAGAGATGGTTATACAAGTATTTTCTTGATTACAACTCTTCAAAATTTACTTTTGTTTTATATAGTCCTATTATGTGAAAATAAAAAGCAAAATTTTCTCGAAAAGGTGAGTTATAAACTGTGCTGAGACTCAACAAGGAATGATTATTTCACTTTCAGAGCTGCTCAAATAAGAACAGCAAGGAAAGCAGCTCAAAAAAGAACATGTGATTATGAAAAATGTAAAAAGCTATTTATGTCTTAAGTGAACCTTAATTTTGGTGGAGATCAACCTATAATAAAGGGGTGGCTCCTGCACAGGGAAAACAAGGGCATATTTTCTTAAGAAGGAAGCAAGAGGGTAATGCTACTCCCACTACATGCAATTTTAGAGTTTACCAAAGACTTTCAAGTATATATTCCCAATTCTCCCCATTTAAAAAACCGCAATTATCATACTAATGAGAAAATAAAACCAAAAGGATTCTTATCACGTTATTGTCCAATCCGTGTTCCTAAACACATGCAATGGCTGGGATTTTTATATCCTGCTTCCCCCCCCCCCGTCCCCACACACACTATAACACTGTACCATAAACATTTGTACCAGAAAAAGCTTACTTAAAAATATACAAGCTGGTAAGGCATACATTACAATTATTCTACATATTTTCGATTTGGGGGCTGTCCTTCTGCCTTTATTCAATCCAAATGTAAACCAAATGTCCACGGGTCGAGAAGGGGGTTGCACCGGGCAAGGGCGGGACAAAGTACCTGGATTTAACAACCAATATAATTCTCACAGCATCCTTCTGCAACCACCTGTCCCTCCTTCAGTTCTAAACTATAGTTCTCTTTCGCTTATTCCTTGGCCTCCTTCCCCTTTGAACTGCCTCCTCTCGCCATCCTTCTCTACTTAGTTTCTCCCAGTCTGCATTTCCTCAGAATAGAGTCTAGCTCTCAATCCTAATATAGAGGTCTCCCACGAACTCCCTAATTTACCTTACAGCAATTTGACCTCTCAGGGCACTCAATAGTCAACCGTCCAGCCGGAGCCAACCGGAAACGGAAGTTGTCAAGTACAGTTCCTTACGGTAGGAAAACGGAGGAGAAGTTTAACGTTCCGGTCCTGGTTCAGTGATTTCTGGACCAAATAGGGATAATACGAGGGATATAGGAAGTCAATATTTTGTACACATACGTGCATTCTAAGTATGATTGAGCTAAGAGACATTTCAGAGGAAATAAGGGCGGAAAAGGGATATTTTCCTTGTTTGGAGAGGGACTCCTTAAACACTGCACAGAGGGTAGGGCCGAAGATTGCCCCAGCCAATAAGTGAAGCTGTTGTTGGGAGCGTGGACTCACCCAATGAGAAGGCTGGTTGTTGTGCTGCAGTTGGCAGGCTGCTGCGGGAGGCGGTGGCGATAGGAAGCTGGAGGCAGAGCGGTGACTGGTAGGCGGCGGTGCTGTCTTTGGGGGACGGAAAGTGCTAAATGAGGAGGGCTTTTCTTCTTCTCCGGCTGCGGACTCTATAGAGGGGAAGCTGACGAGGGTGGTCTGGGAAGGCGGTAGCCAGACCGTTGATGGTTCCGGAACCTCGTAAACCAGGTAGCCGCTTAGGAGGGTCGTGAGGAGATGGCAGCTGAGGCGGGCGGGGGCTGCGTCCTGTGGGGCTGCATGGGGGCCTGCTTAGAGCGTGGGGGTTGTGGTGGCGTGGTCTGAGAGAGAGAAGAGAGGCTGGAGTAAGACACTGGTAGTGAGAGCTGAAGGAATTCCTTGCACGAAGCCCCAGGCGAGAAAAGGACACGACGTTGCAGACACCTGAGAGAAATCCTAGGGATTTCTTCTTATGGCCATTTGCTGAGGGTAGTGAAGGGGTGCGGAGAAGAAAGCTGTTTACTGGCGGTCAGATCCTGTAAATTCTATTGCTGTGCATTATGTAATCCTTGGCTGGTTATTTATTGTAACAACGAGGTTGACCCTCTTGGAAGAGGAGCTCTTGCAAACCTATTGATAGTTAGAACACTTTTCATTGGCTTCAGTGCTTTTTTTAGCCAGGCAGGGTGATAGCATGAAGGCGAAGGGTGATAGCATGAAGGTTAGAGTAGTCACGAAGAGCTTATCCCAAATCTGCACTGGAGAGATACGGCGCAAGTTTGAGATGATTGTGTTCAGATTCGTGTTTTATAGTTCATGAATTTGTTTTGAGGGTCAAGGATGGTAACAAGTACGTTTTTTAATCTTCAGGAAAGTGCATAGCTTCAAAAAGTCTATAGTAGGAGGTAAGTGCAAATTGGAAGATGACTAGAAAATTAATTGGTAGAACCGCCCCTCCCCACAGATATTGTGGATGTTAGAGATTGTGAAAATAGGGTGAAAGTCTGAATGGGGAGGAAGGGTGTCAGTTTKTAAGTAATTTGCTTTGTAAGTCTGAGACTAGATATGAGTTATTTCTTAGGTTTAAAAAATATGCTCTTTGAATCTCTTGGAAGTATATAAAACGTACTTACAAATAAAATTAATCATAAATTATCCTGTTTTTCAAAGGCTTGTGCTGAAACTCTTGGTTCAATTCCCAATACAGGAAAAATAAAGAATCTTTATAATTTTAGGTTTACACAGTGAAATGTAGGATTAAAATAGAAATTCTAGGCAGTATGTATATAAAAACTTGATTTTGTAGCTCAGTGAAAAGTGATTTTAAAAGACGGGAAAACAATTTTTAATAAAGCTTTAAATATTGCTAAAATGTAAGCTGTTTGAAGTGTTGCCTTTAGAAGATAAGAACAAATTCAGTATTAGCAATTACATCATTTTACTGAACATGTTTTAGTACTGCATGTCAGGAAAACTTTCTAAGATGTGGGTTTTTTTTTTCTGTTAATGTTAATTTATGTTAGTGCATACAGACCTAAATCAAAATTTCATTTGTTTTGCTCAAAATAATATTTGTGAAAGAGAAGTGGAGTGGATCCTTAGAGTTTGTTTTGAAGTGTTGAGAGTACTGAGATTATTTGTCAATGGTTTAATTAAGTTTTAAAAATGATTCTTGATGTTTCAGTCTTTTTTTGTTTTTGAGTAATGCTATCTCAGTTACAAAGAAAACAACTTTCTAGGTGAAATTTTGTAGTGATTTGAGTATCTGTGAACAAATTTGCCTTTATTCAGAGGTTTTTTTTTGGGGGGGGAGGAGAGAGAGAGAGAGAGAGAGAGAGAGAGAGAGAGAGAGAGAGAGAGAGAGRGDGDGWGTGTGTGTGTGTGTGTGTGTGTGTGTGTGTGTGTGTGTGTGTTATGTAACCAGCCTACTCACTGTCTTGAAGAACTAATAGCTGATTTTGAATGGCCAGTAGGTGTCATCTTAGAATGCCATAAATTGAACATTGGGAAGGAGATTACCAAGCAGTTTAAGAAACACTTGCCCAATGTTTAATGCCATAACTTCAACACCAAGAAGAAAATTACCAAGTACTTTAAGAACCATTAATTCAATTAGCGTGTAATTGGATAATTATTTATAAATCATGAATGTTCTCTTCTGAAATATTTCAAAAGTGCTATTGGAGCTATTTATAAGGAATTTGAGCTAGCTACAGTTTGTGGTGCTGGGGATTGCCCAGGGCTTTTTGCATGCTAGGTAAACACTGCCAACTGACCTRTCTCTCAAACAGTGTCTGCAAAGAAGTATAATTGTTTGCTTTAAAATGGATTTTGACTTTTTTAATCCATCCCTTAAGGTATCTTGTCATATAATKGGGGTTTAAGATTAGTTGACTATTTTTAGTAGACAGTTTTGATATCTTACTTAGTTTATTCTAAAATGATTAAGGTTTCAGTCCACTGAACTTATATCCTAGAGAAAACAGTGCTACATGATGTAAAATTAAAATGATGAAATATGGGCAGAATTCTTTGAACAAGTTATCAGCAGTTTTCTATTGTTCTTTTAATGCCTGAACGAACAGCAGAATTTTTGTGTTTCATTGTCTGTGGTGGCTGTGGTGCCTTCTATTTCTTCTTCTTAAGCTATATCCCCAGCCCTTTTTATTTTTTATTTTGAGACAGGACTCGCTTAGTGGTTCCCACTTTTTGATCCTCTGCCTCAGCCTCCCARGTAGCTAGAATTACCTGCGTGCGCCACCTCACCAGTCTGTCTGTGGCTTCTTAAGGTCCCAAATTGCTTCCTTTTACATTTTTATCTGGTAGACTACATGCTTTTCTCAGAATAATGAATACCAATGTCTAAGATGTAATGTAGTGGATTCAGGAGGGAGCTGACATAGAAATCTCTGAAGGTGGTGTATACCTGTTGTAAATAGCCTCCCTAGCCTTCTGCTGAGCTCTTGTCACTTTGTAGTTCTATTTCTTATGCTTTGCTTTTGACACAATGTTTAAAAAAAGGACTGCCTAATTTGAGAATTATCCAATTGGGTACAGATAGATAGAAAGGTCTCTCAAAATAATATAGGAGTTTATAAAAAGGCATACACACAGTTATTATATACACTTCAAAATTTTAGTCATGGGGGAGTATGAAGGAAGTAGATGCATTTTGGGGAAAAAAATCTCTTAATGATTTGGCTTAGTTATGGCTGCCACTTTAAAAACCATTAATGTAATTCAAGGCTCTGGCACTTGTGGTATGAACCAGTAACAATAGTTATCTACCAATAAGTTTTTAGCTCAACAAATTGTCACCATTTAACAACATAGCTAGGGTAACTTTTCTAGCCAGTGTCTGAAATTGCTAGAAATGAAAATTATGCTGAATGTTTCAGTTTGCCAAAGTGATCTAGTTCTAGAATTAAAAATGGAAAGTAAAGATTGAAAGTTTTCTTGATTAAAAGTCTTTTTAATACCGCAATGATATGACAAATATACATTAATATTTGCATAAACAGTCACTCACTAATATGTATTAAAACTTGGAATTGCAAATATGTTGACCTTGGTATGGTTCTAATTTATAAATTTATAGCTTCTCTTTATGAATTCTGAGCTTTTTGTTTGGGGATCTGGCTGCCATATAGATAAGTATGAGAAAAAAGTAAATAAGAAGAATGAAATTTGGGGGAAATTTTATTTTAAGGTGTGTGACTTTGGTTAATTATAGAGTTATGCTTTCTGTGTTTGAGATACAACTGCCAAAATATTGGTCATAAAGTGTGGCAGGTGGCACTAATTTACTAAGTGGTAAACATGGGTTACAGAATACTCATTTTGTCTATACCTCAAAAAATGTTAGTCAGATTTATTACCTTTGTTATTATGGATAATTGAATCTTTTTTTTTTTTTTTTGGTTGTGCTGGGGATTGAAATGAGGGCCTTGTACATGCAARGCAAGCACTCTACCAACTGAGCTATGTCCCCAGCCCCAGATAATTGGCTCTTTTTTAAATTATTGCATATTAATTATATAGAATATTGGGTTTCATTGTGTCATTTGTATATGTGTATAACATTTTTATGATTTCTGTCTCCCCATTACCCGCCCTTACACTCCCCTCCCCTATCCCCTTCTTCTTAGTAATAGTCCCCCTTGTACATCCAAGTCATCCCCGACCCCTAGATTTCACATATGAAAGCAGGCAGTACTTGTCTTGAGTATGGCTTATTTTGCTTGAAAATAACACGATGATATGTAGTGCCATCCATTTTCCTGCAAATGACATAATTTTGTTTCCTTAAGGCTGAATAATACTCCATTGTATATATATGCCACATTTTCTTTATCCATTCATCTGTTGATATGCACCTAGGCTGACTTCATAACTGGGCTATTGAGAATTGTGCCTCCATAAATATAGGTATGTATGTATCTATAGTGTGATACTTGACTAATAATGTTTGATATAGGCTAATATAGCTACTGAGATTTGTCAATTAATTTACATAAATTTCTTTCCTCATATTTTATAAAAACAGGTGAGGGAAGGAGTTGGATCCTGAATAGGAAATTAAACTTATACTTTCACATACTCTTTTATTTTAAAGCTTTCTAATCTGTGTATTCCTTTGTAGTTCTTTTGAAATTAAAACAATAGTGGAGTTGGAAGAATACACTGTGGACCATTCTATTTTTCTAAAGTGACTGTAGGATTCAAATAAAAAACACAAAGTACTTATAAAATCTAAAATTTTTAACAATTTGAAATATTTTACAGTATTTACTGTTTTATTGTTTGTGGAAAAAACTAGGAAAAATTAATAAAAAAATTAGAATTAAATGTTCCATTGTCAAATCTCTCATTGTATACCTGTCACTCTGTGATCTTATTTGTTCACTTAGTATCTAAAACTGATGATTCTTAAGGCTGATAATTCTCAAATATCTATCTGTTTTCCCTATCTATGTCTCTAATCTAGACTTTTTCTTTCCTGTTCTATAATTTAAATACCTGCCAGATGAAGATGATCTGCATGGCCCTCAAATATGCTATGACTTAAAATGATTCTATTTTCCCTTTTATCGTTTTTCTAATGGGCTGAAACTAGAACCTGATGTTATCTTTAATACTTTGTTTATGTACCTCTCATCTGAGCAATACTGGATTTTGTTGCCTCTACCTTCTATTTTTACTTTTCAAATTGATACATAATAATTGTACCT